GGCACCAAATAGATAACCATAGTTTACAGACTTCTGAATATACCACATACTTTCCTCTTCCAATTAAACAAGAAATTGCTGGACTAAATCAATAAGAAGCTTTTGGTTGCCAGAAACAGAAAATCCAGTTCAAACTTGCTTATTCAATACATAGAATTTAATATCTTCCATTCCTAAAAGATTCAAAGACTGAGCTGGTATTTCTAAATGAAACATCAGAAACTCCCTGAATCATAGTCTGGTAATTGGTACCCAAACTAAACCATTTAGCTACAAAAATAGCATAAAACAATGCTCTTTTTTTGGATGTATAGTTGATGTACAATATTATATAACTTACAGGTACCATTTCCAACCTACCCAAAATGGCATTCCACGTGGTAACTTGAGTGGAGTGAAAGAGATGGCAGAGAAATTATTCATGCCTCAAACAGCAAGCTAAAGGCCTCCTACCCTGCAATTTGGGCTTTACTTAAGGTCCTACAGAAAGAGCTGCATTCAGGAGCTTGGGTGGTCCCACATGGGCAGAGGCTAGGGGACAAGTGAAGCAATGCGTGAGGCAGAGAAGACAGGCCTACAGAACTAAATGCAACTATGACACCAACACATCAGCCAATATCCACCCCTTTCTATTGTAATGCATGGTCTTTTAAATGTAGTGATTTGTTCCTGGCCAAAATGTCACAAAATACGTTCTTCCCTTCTTGAGTTTTCCGTTCAGAACACTGTGTCCTAAAGGAGACTAGTTTCCACAGTGAAAAATAATCGGGTATGGCCATGTGAATGAAAGAAAAATAATTTAAATCTCTTTTCTTCTACTCATAAATTAACAAGGTTTCAACATGTAGCATAAAAAAGGAGGTAGAGGTGAATCCAGTGGCCCAACAGTGACATCAGGACCTGATTTTGTTCTGCCTCTTCCTTCTACACTTCCTGGTGTAGGCTTCATCACAGGCAAATATTTATGATCCCCAAACGGCTTCCGTCATGTCTCAGTTCCACACGCTTCTGTATTAGTATCACACAGAAAAGAGTGTCACTGTCTCAGAATTCACAGAGAAAGTCCATAGATTTTCAGTGTTTATACTGGCTAAGGTTATGTGGCCGTCTGGGAACCAGTCTCTGCATTCAGGATAGTAGGTGCTGATGGGTCATGTGCTTTATCTTTAAAATAAAAGGTGGCGCCAGATTCTCTGAAATCCAGATGAAAATGGAGAGTTACTGGGCCGGAACGAGCAAAGACTGGGTGGGAGAGGGTGAGTGGTGGTGATGGTGGTTGTAGTGGGGTAAGGGGAGATAGGGCAGATATAAAAGCGGAGAAGGTGATAAAAATGACTACTACCTGAACATCAAGAAATCTCTCTAGGATACTGTGAGTAGGGACAGATATGAGAGAGAGAGAAACTGAAGCTGCAGTAAATGAATTAACTCAGAGTTTGCGCGAGAGATTGGGATCTGGGATGTTTCTAGCATTTCTGGTTTGGGTGATTGACAGGATTATTGACTATATTATTCATAGAGATGGATCCACAGCAAAAGGAGTGGGTATAGGAGGAGAGGAAGCTGGATTTGGGACATGTTGAGCTTGAATTGATCTTGGACTTTGCACATAGGCTCTCCTGTAGGTTCTTTTACTTTTGTGTTTCTGTTAGAGTCTGCTAGTTGCTTTACTCTCCCCTATATTGTCAAGGTGACCAACGTACCTGGTTAGAGATATAAATTTCCCAACATCAATTGCAGTTTGAGGTGACCAATGAGATGTGAGAAGAAGCTTCTGGAATTCAGAAAAGTTCTTTATAACTCTGGACCTAGCTGGCAACTGTACTTTGGGATTTTGCCCCTTCCTCTGTCTTATCCATTTACATCATAAATTAAATGGTATACATGTGAATATAAACCTGGAGCTTTGGGGATATATCTGAGATATAAATTCTTCATATTTCAGTACAAGTTAAAATATATCTGCCAAACAATATATGCAGTATCAGCCTGGAGCATATATTGTATTGAAGGATACAGGAATGATGAATGTAGAGTCTTTGCCAACAAGAACTTAGTATAGAGGGAAGAGTAATTGTGAAAGCAATATTTAAATTATTATGATGAAGGTACATGTTATGGGCTATGAAGGGGTAGATTTCAAAGACAGCAAGATAATATTGTGTTGGGGGTTCTGGGGCATGTGTGGTGGCACTTGAAGAGTGAGCTAGTTTTCAACTGGAAGTTGTGAGAAAGGAAGGGTATTTCAACTGGAAGAAGCAGCTTAATTAATATGTGATGTTTTAAAAGGATAATCAATTACCCACTTTATTCAAAGGCAAATTCTCACATTTAGGAATTCAGAGCTGTTACAAATAGTAGGAAATTAAGTCTATGAAGATTTGGGACCCTCTTGACGGAAATGCAGTCAAAATGGTTAAACTTTTTTATTTACTGAACTGATCAGGTTTTTTGGCCCAAGTGACCTGATCATCTGACTGTTTTAGCATCAGCTGGGTACATTAACCTTTTCTTTTCTTTTTTAGTTCACTGATGATCTCACCTCTGAGTTTGTAAAATCAGTAACATTAACCTACTCACTTATTTTAATGCTTGCCTGTGCACTGGTTTCTCAATCCGTAAAATATGAAACACTGTGTTTCTCGGCTACATGTGGTAAATTAGTTGGTACAACAGCCAACTTTGAGATTCTTGAAGGAGAAATGTCATATTCTATGTTTCAGTATTAGTATATTGTGAAACATTTTCTACAAAGAAAACATAGGTAAAACAAACTGAAACAGAATTGTAAAACTAATATTAAGCCACCTGACACTTTTAAAGAGAAATTGAAACTTAGATATTTCCTCCTAATTTTAGTTTAATCCTTCAGTCATTTAGAATCGGGCCCAGTTGTGCCAGACCAAAACATAAAGTAATTTCCTTCAAATGGAATGCTGAATAAGATACTGACATTAAGACTGAATGTTTTGTGGCCACAGTGCATGAACCAAGACTGAAGAATGTACTTCTTATTCTAGCCATTTAGATTACCTGCCATATTTGGTAATTCAGCTTCTGTACATGTGCGTATATACATATAGATAGGTAGGTATATATAGGCATAGATATATTTTATTTCCAACATTTTTTTATTTTAGGAAAATAGCGTTGATCATTTCAAGCTTTAAAAGAATTTAAATCAGTGGGTTTGTTATCTCAAAAAAGTAAAAACGTTTTCAGGAAACAAATTTGAAACGATTTTTTTTTTTATTATGAGAGTAAATGATAGATAAAATAATCCAAGAGGGAAAATATGTACTTCACACATGCAAACACGCATTAAAAACAAACACACACTACATGATCTTTTGGTGTCTCCCGTAACTTTTGTCCAAATGGTCATTCCATTAGGAGATATTTATAGAAGTTTCTAACTCATAGCATGTTATTTATCAGTTGATAATAGTAACTTGCATTCATATGATATTTTACCTAGCATTTTAACATTCAGTCTTTTATTTGATTCTGATCATAGCCTTGTGAGTTAGATATTACAGATAATGCATCTCCTCTTTATATAGGAAGACACTGATTTGGAGGCGACAAGTAACTGCCCTGAGGCTGCACAAGAAGCAAGCAAGTTTCTAATGCCTCTTTGACAACTTTCTACTGCAACATAATAGCTGCCTTTTATTGTTATGAATACAGTTTTAAAGCCCTCTTTAAAGCCCTTTATTGTTATGAATACAGCTTTAAAGCCCTCTACCAGTCACTGGCAAACAAGGAATCAGACAAATATTGAAAACCTTGTGGACACAGTTCAGTCAAAAAAGTGGATATTCCTCAGGAAAATATAATAATCATATTTTTCATGATTAAGACATGGTTCTAAAATTTCTCCTAGACCCTTTTCTGTGAGAATTAATAATATAGCTAAATGTCAATAAGCACACAATACTAGGTTCATGTTTTAAATGCAAGATAGAATGCAAAAGCAGATGGGATGCCACGTATCCAAGACAACTTTATTCATCTCCTAAAGCAACAGCCCTCAAAATGCCTCATTACCAACCCATTTGCAAGGTTCCCCCAGACATGACAACTCAGGAAACCCGAAATCCCAACCAATTTGGATGGGATTTCTAGGTCAAACCCTGAATCCTTTCCTTATTTTCTCTCTGCCATCACAAAGTACACAAAAAATGTCTGGGTCTTTTTATGATACGAGCCCAGAACCATTTCCAACCTACCCAAAATGGCATTCCACGTGGTAACTTGAGTGGAATGAAAGAGATGGCAGAGAAATTATTCATGCCTCAAACAGCAAGCTAAAGGCCTCCTACCCTGCAATTTGGGCTTTACTTAAGGTCCTACAGAAAGAGCTGCATTCAGGAGCTTGGGTGGTCCCACATGGGCAGAGGCTAGGGGACAAGTGAAGCAATGCGTGAGGCAGAGAAGACAGGCCTACAGAACTAAATGCAACTATGACACCAACACATCAGCCAATATCCACCCCTTTCTATTGTAATGCATGGTCTTTTAAATGTAGTGATTTGTTCCTGGCCAAAATGTCACAAAATACGTTCTTCCCTTCTTGAGTTTTCCGTTCAGAACACTGTGTCCTAAAGGAGACTAGTTTCCACAGTGAAAAATAATTGGGTATGGCCATGTGAATGAAAGAAAAATAATTTAAATTTCTTTTCTTCTACTCATAAATTAACAAGGTTTCAACATGTAGCATAAAAAAGGAACAGGACAAGAACAGTCAGTACACAAAGGAAAAAATACAAACAGCCAACTATATTAACAGCCAAAGAAATGCTAAACAAACCAATAGTATTTTCACCTATTGTACTGGGAACCATAACTAATGAATTATTACCTGCCCAAAACAGGGTTGTCGTGGTCTTAGATACTGAAAACATTCCAAACATTTTTAGTATTTGGTTTTATTGTATATGCTGTTTTTAAACAAGATTTCTCATCTTAATTATTTTGTTCTTGGCTCAAATGAACAGCAGTCTGGAACCACCGAACACACATCAGCCAACATGGGAAGCAGACATCTGGCCCAGGAGAGGAATCAAAACAGGAAGGTAAAATTCACCCCAGTTAGGTCACAAAATCAAAAATGTCCACACGAAAGATAAAATACCATCTTCTCGTTCTGCAACTTTAGTCTTTCACTCAAATAGCAGGATGCAACTTCTCATACTTCAAGATTTATATATCCCATGGCTCAAGACAGACAAATGACCAGATGACAGTTTCATAGCATAATACCCATTGTCAGCTACTAGTTAAAAATTAACTCATGGCAAATTGATGTCATATATCTGGAAGAAAACTGCTTAAGTTTTCTTTAAAGCATCCTTGAGAACAAGCTTCTGGCATGAAAATGGAAAATAGGTTGAAGAATATTAATAAATGTTAATAAAACTTTTAAAGTACTAAAGTATAGAAAAATTGGGTGGGAAATTTTTTTGCTCTGAAAAACAGCTAGAATTGCTTGTCCCTTAAAACTCCATAGATGATTTCCATATTCACATCTGTATTTGTCATGCCAGAAAAGGATGAAAGGGAAAAAGAAAAGGAATGTTAAGTGTCTGGGAAGGAACAGGAAAGCCTGATATGCTTCAGGGATTCAGGGTTTACACCATACATAGTCAAGACGTTACTCTTACCAGAGATAGATCATCGAGTCTTCCTCTTATTTACATAGATACACTACTGCGGAAAGATTTTCACAATTAAACTTAGGGTTTCTTTTCAGTATTCCTTCAATATATTTGACAAATCCACAACTGATATAAAATTTCAGATGGAAATGCTTCTATAAACATGCCACGTTTTCCATCTATTCTCTGATTTCTAGATACTTAGACTTGTGCCTTAATCTCTTAATAACTCAAACAACAAAGACCATAATACCACACAGGGGAAATAATGATTTGAGAATCAAAAGTTGCTAAAGAGCAGAACTGACTTTCATGTTTATTTAAGGACTTTCCATGGAACAATGATATTTTTTTTTTTTTTTTTGCGGTACGCGGGCCTCTCACTGTTGTGGCCTCTCCCGTTGCGGACCACAGGCTCCGGACGCCCAGGCTCAGCGGCCATGGCTCACGGACCCAGCCGCTCCGCGGCATGTGGGATCTTCCCGGATCGGGGCACGAACCCGTGTTCCCTGCATCGGCAGGTGGACTCTCAACCACTGCGCCACCAGGGAAGCCCTGGAACAATGATTTTTTAAATTAAGTTCTTATCTCCTTTATTATGAGAGTTTCCTGGAAGAATTACAGTTGGGAAAGTGGCCACTTTCTTACGATTAAGCTCAGTCGTTCACCGCAGCATGCTGCAATCATTAGGGCTTGTAAAATCCCTTTTGCAGATTTGCAAGGAGGCTCAATTACATTATCTCCATCAGGGTTTATGTACCTAAAGATAAAAGATAGACTCATTGAACTCATAGAGTTGCAGAGTTCAGTGGAATCAGGTTATAGAACTACTACTGCTAACAATGAAATACTGTAAGACTTCTATTTGCAATATTACTGTGAACAGCAAAACTAGAAAGAAACTTTCAGATAATCTATGTAAATAAAATATCCCTCATAAAAATTAATAGAAAATGACTTTTTTCTTATTATGATCCATATTCCACATGTAAACTACTGTGATAAAATCTTCTATGAAAAGAAGTAAAATTATTTTTATATTTCTAATGTTTTATTTGGCTCTTACGTAGTCTAATATATGGATCATTGATCAAAGTTTTTATTTTTAATCCAAATATTTTTTATCATGTAGTCACAGTATAAATTTTCATTATTAATTTTTAGCATATCGGAGAACGAGGAAGAAAAGAATTTGAAAAATAAAAAAAATCGACTTTTGCAATTGAAATACTGCAAAACTTATTTAACTCCTTTAGAGCTTACTGAGTTTATTCATTTCCCATTCCTTTGCAAAAAAAAAAATGATAAAGTAGATATAGAGAATTTAAGATAACTAAATTTATAAAGAAAATTTGAAAACAGATTAAGGGAAAATGATACTGAAAACAGTAACCAATACTTTCAACAAGACATGATAACACATAAAACCTGGTCCTTAACCTCGAGGAACCAAATGTAGTGGAAACCAACACCTTTTTCCTTTTCCTGCTGGACATACAGCTACAGTATGTTTCCCACCCACCCTTGCCCTGAGAGTAGTCAGATGACTGAGTCCTGACCAGTGAAATTTGGGCCACAGAGATGTGCAACACTTCCATGCCTGGCCTTTCCCCATCTGCAAGCTGAATGGACCCTACTGTAGGACTTAAGAGAGGATGGACCAGCAAGCTAGAAGGAGCCTGAGTTTTCAAATGACCACATAGGTGACCTACAACCACACAGGTGACCTACAGCATCATATGTGTGAATGAGAAATAATTCTTATCGCATTAAGCTGCTGAGATTTTGGAGTTTATCACTTAGCATAATCAATTCAGTAAAGCAAAGAGAAACTTTAAAATGTTAATAATTTTACTTCAATACACATATACATACACATAAACACAAGTGATAGCATGCATAATTGGAGAAATCTGAACAAGCTCTGTGGGTTGTACCAATGTCAATTTCTTGGTATTCTTACCATACTATAGTTATACAATATGTTAACTTTGGGGGAATCTAAGGGGAAAAGTGCAGAGACCATCCTGTACATTTATTTGCACCTTCCTGTATATCTATAATTATGTCAAAATAGTTAAAAAATTTCCCTTGATTAGAGGCAAAAAACTGTATCAAATATTTAGGGAAAACCAAATTTGATTATTCTTAATTGTTTATTATATAGGTACAAACGAGGTATTTATATCATTAAAAATGTTGTAGAACATAGAAAACGTCAAAGTGGAAATTATATGTCTAATTCTTAGAGTAACTTTTCATAAAAACTGGAAGGCCATAGAAGTTGAAGCATTATTTGGTAAAGATGATATGATAATGGTCGAATGTGATATGGTCCAAAAGTATAAATGCCTATTTGAAAAACTGGATTTTAAACAAATAAAGGAGGGTGTAACAGCCCAGAAATGTTCAAATATTTCTCACTTTGATTCATACCAGATAATGCTTGCACAACACACACCCATGTGTATCAGATACAACTTCCCTCTATCACTCAAGGAAGATAATGGAATCAAGGGCATAAGAACAACACAATCATGAGTCTAGCTTTGACTTTGCTCTGACTTACTTTTTATTATACTATAAATTATTTGTCAACTTCAGGACTTTCCTATTGTTAAAAATAAGTAGTGGGCTTCCCTGGTGGCGCAGTGGTTGGGAGTCTGCCTGCCGATGCAGGGGACACGGGTTTGTGCCCCGGTCCGGGAGGGTCCCACGTGCCGTGGAGCGGCTGGGCCCGTGAGCCATGGCTGCTGAGCCTGTGCGTCCGGAGCCTGTGCTCCGCAAAGGGAGAGGCCACAACAGTGAGAGGCCCGCGTACCGAAAAAAAAAATAAAATAAATAAGTAGTAATACACTGTGGAAGAACTCTTTGCTGTGGTTAGAAAGAATCCATTAGAATGAGTTTCTTGGTCTTTCAGACAAAGCCAAGACCAGTATTCTACCCCTTTTTGACAAATAAGCGAGGCGTCATGCTGCCTCTAGAACTAGGTGTCTCTGCCATCTCCTCACTAGAGTGGGTTCCACATGGCATCTGCCTCTCTAGAGATGTAATGCCTGTGATTGCTACAGCAAGAGTTCCTCACTTTTCCTGCAAGAAGGCTGAGCATTTCAGCCTTGTGCCCCATCAAAGCAAGAACTTACAAGGTGAGAAATTTCTTATTATAGGAAAGAGGTTCAAAGAATGAGGCAGCCAAACAGAGTGACAAATATCTGCTACACAGCACATGTGTACATTAACATTATGAATAAGATGTTATTTTTCTATTTGGCAGTAAAGAATCCTGGCAAACACTGCCTTAGCCAGGTGATGAAGGTCAACCTCACCCCAGTGATAAGTCATGTATCCCCAACATGCACCAATGTGATGTCATGAGAATGGAAGTTCATCTCTGTGGTCACCCTCCCCAAAATGCACAACCCCCATTTAATCATAAGAAAAGCATCCAGCAAGAGACAAAATACCTGAAGAGCTTTTGTCAAAAGAAAGTCATCAAAAATAAGCAAAGACGGAGACCCTGTCACAAAGCAGAGAAGGCTAAGGAGACATGACAACTAAATATAACGTCCTGGATTGTATCCTGGAACATAAAAGACATAGGAAAAAACTAGTGAACTCTGAATAAAATGTGGAGAGCTCCGCAGACTTTTGGCTAAGATCAAATGGGAATAAAATGAGTTCAGTTAAAAGTAATGTACCAGTGATGGCTTCTTAGTGTGACAAATGTACCATAGTAATGCAACACATTAATAACAGGGAAACTGGGTGTGTGAAGGATATAGGGGAACTCTCTGCACTGTCTTTCCAACTTTTCTGTAAATAAAAAACTATTATAACACAAAAAGTTTATTTAAAAAAAGAATACTTTTGCACCAGCTGGTTAATGTTCTTATGGACACTAGTGTGAAAATATTCCCCCATTTTCTCCCTCCCCTTTACATAAAACAGTAATGACTGGTAAAGTACTTTAAAATAATACCATTGCCATTTGTGGCTTCTTTTCATTTTAACTAAGATTGATTCAACGTAGTTAAAGCTTGTACTTTTCTATTTCTACAGCATCTCACAAATAATCACAAGCAAGCACAACTAACAATTTCCTTAGATTGTTAGATCGGGGAAACTTTTCTTTGCTGAGGTTATATCTGGATAGTAGCGGTTCAAAGTTGCATATCCTGATAGGATCTGGGGCTGGGAATATTCTTATCCATATTAAAAGATGGGATTTAGCCTGTGAACATAAAGGGGCTAAATCAGTTATTGAATGAAAGGCATATCTCTTCTCCATATGGAGGTAAGCTGTGGGAGATTTACCTCAGGAATTTAACAAACGATTATAAAGTTGTTCTGAACATTTTCAAAAATATATTATTACTTATAAAACTGATGTGTAACCAAATTATATTTTGGTTACAAATATAATTTGACTTTAATTAAAGTCAAATTCTTACTCAAGAACATACCTGTGCGTCTGAATTCTCAGCCACTGACGAGTAACTTTATTAAAAAGTATTATTTAAACCCGATTAGCTGCTGACTCCACCAGAATTTCAAAAGAGAAGGAACTGTAAACCTTTTGGGCAGGATATGGGTTTTGTGGGAAGGCTTTTTAGCAAGCCTGTGTTCACAGACATGCAGTAAACATTCTGTCTACCCAGAAAGTACCCAGAAGGTACCCAGAAAGTACCTCTCTGCCAAAATTCAAACTTGTTTGATGTTCATAATGTTTCAAACATCCAACTAGTTCTGATGTTTATAAAAAATAAAAGGGATTTAGTTATAACTTCTAGTGATACTGGCTGTTTTTAAAGGGCTCTCCCAAAGACACTTTTTTCATGAAAACAATTATTAAAAGCAGCAGAATGATAAGTTGCAATGGAATGTACTTATATGATGTTGAAGGAAAAGTATTTTTATATCTTAATGATGAAAATAATACTTAAGGACTTCTTTAAACTATGCTGATAAGAGTAATTTATCCGAAGTAGGTCTCTGCCAATGGAGCTTTCAAATGAAAGCTACTGAAAAGAGTCTCAAAAACTGACATGAAGATTTCTGGATCGTGCTGCTACCCTAAAACTGGACCCAGCCATAGGATATGGACAACTCTGGAACAGAACTTGATAAGCAACCTTTAGTACACAAATTTCCAATGCCAAGACACCTGATTAATATATGTCAAACTTCTCTGCATAGCTAAACATGCCCATTATTTTGTGCTTCCTCATAAAATTTATTTTTCAAACTGTCGAACACAGTTGAGTCATCACCTCATCATTCTTATGTTATCTTTTCTGTCCTTTGGGAACATTTTTCCCCACTGCTTAGGTGAGATTTCTTCTGTTACTTCTATTTCTTGCCCTATTCATAGTTGGACTCTAGAGGGTCACACATAATTACCCCAGAGAGCTATTTCGTGGTATACAAAACTGAAAAGTAAAGTGATTTTAAACAACTCCACACGGTAGTGTGGTGTGCCTACACGTAGGCATACAGTCATTCATGTTCTGACTGGTGTAGCTTGCAAAGTAGGCATAGCCAAAATGGGTGCTGTCTATATTCTTGCAATAGGATGAAATGGAATGAGATTAAAGGGAATTTAATTCTAAATTAACTTTGTATTCATCTAATGCAATGCCTTACATTATTAAAAGTAGAATATGTATTTGTTGATTAATAAATGATTGGGGAATTGTTGCAGTTGCAGAATGTGGATTATGTCTTTTACATTATATTTATTTAGTACTGCTTTTACTTTCTTAGCCAGGATTAATTTTGCACATAGGCAAATGATGGCCAACTATGCAGCATAATTTTAGTGTGCAAATATTATTTGACAGAGAATAAAGGTTTAGGACTCTAGTCCTCTTGCAGCAGCCAGAACCCGAAGCCTGGCGGGCCCTTCCCTCCTCCCTCTTTGGCGCGTGGTCCGCGCGCGGTTGCAGCAGGGGCCGCTCCGCTTCTCCTTTGCTCGCGGGGGCTGCGCCTAGCCCACCAGACTGTCCCCGCGCCCACTCTCCCGCTCACTGCGCAAGCGGACAAGGGGGAGCTCTGCTCCGGGGACACCAGCCCCCCCGGGCCGCCTCATTCATTCATTCATTCACTCACTGGCTGACCGGTGAAGCCAGCGGCGGGCTGAGCCCACGGCGCACCTCTCCACACCCACCCCAGACCTGAGAGCGATCCCAGGGGCGGGCACGTCAACCGCCTCCACGTGGCCACCACGGTCTCCGTCACTTGCGGGTCTCGCTCCACCACGAGCCGGAGGACAGCGTTGCTGAAATGGCTAGGTACTTCTTCAGACCAGGCCTCTTTCTGGTATCACATCTTTCTGCTCCTGGTGTGGTAGCTGCGAGGCAGGCGAGGGCTGCAGCAGCCCCGCTCAGCCATTGGCTGGCGCCACAGTGGGCCCCTCCCCAGAAGCGCGTAACTGTCTACCAGCGACTTTAGTGGTCCCGCTCAGCCATTGGTCAGTGCCACAGTGGGCCCCGACCCTTTCCCCTCTTGTACATAAAAGAAGCCCGAAGTCGGTCGGAGGTAAGGTGGTTTTTGGAAATGCTAGTCTGCCATCTGCTCAGTCTGCTAGCTTTCTGATTAAAATCGTTATTCCTTGTTCCAACAACTTGTCTCCCGATTTACTGGCCTGTTGTGTGGCGAGCAGAATGAGCTTGGGCTCAGTAACACTATCCCATTAATCCAGTAGCATAAATTAGATATCTCTATCTATACCTGTTGGACTTTTAACACTCTTAGAAAGAAAGAAGTGACTTACTTCCTAAGTTAATGAGACGTATGTCCAAATAGTTTTGATGGAGAAATGGTGATAATGAACAGGAAATGACCTGGGAGAGATAGACTTAAAGGCAATAAGATCTAGGGTTTTTAGCAACAGCTGAAAAGTAGAGGGGCATTATATATATGAAAACGGGGAGCCCTAAAGAGATACTGAGTTCTCTTGTGAGAAAAACTGCCAAATTCACAATATAAAGCTGATCATATTTGTGATTTCATGGCAAATATAAACGTGATTCCTCGAAGTCATATCTTATGCTTTGCTCTCACATGAACTTTATAGATTTCAATCTTTTGTTTTTAGCTTCTACCCTTCAGTTAGAGTTCCCTCATCTCAAAAACAGTCGTAAAACATGCTGATCATTTTACCCACTGAAATGGTTATAGTGGTAATTTTAATGGTTTTTAGCTATCAATGCCTGTGTGTCAACTGTTATCCCTCTGGCCCACATGTCTTTCTATTCCAAGACTCAGACTAAAGACAGCACACAGAATATATCTGATAAACACTCATATTTAGAGTATATAAAAACTCCTATAACTCCATACTAATAATAGAAATAACCCTATTAAAAGACTCTGAATAGATATTTCTCCAAAGAAGATGACAAAGGACCAACAAGCAAAAGAAAGGATGATCAACATCCTCATACATCAGGGAAATGCAAATCAGAAACATAATGAGGGCTTCCCTGGTGGCGCAGTGGTTGAGAGTCCGCCTGCCGATGCAGGGGACACGGGTTCGTGCCCCGGTCCGGGAAGATCCCACATGCCGCGGAGCAGCTGGGCCCGTGAGCCATGGCCACTGAGCCTGCACGTCCGGAGCCTGTGCTCCACAATGGGAGAGGCCACAGCAGTGAGAGGCCCGCGTACAGCAAAAAAAAATTAAAATTAAAAAAAATAAAAAAAGATAAAAACAAGTGTTGATGAGGATGTACAGAAATTAAATCCTTATCTAGTACTGGTAAAAATGCACAATGATGCAGCTTATTTGGAAAATTAGACTGGTTATTTCTCAAAATGTTAAGGGTAGAGCTGTCATATGACCCAGCAATTTCACTTCTGCGTATGTATTTAAGAGAAATGAAAACATGTCCACACAAAAACTTGCACACAAATGTTGATAGCAATGTTATTCATAATAGCCAAAAAATAGAAACAACCCAAATGTCTATCAACTCATAAATGGATAAATAGAATGTGGTATATTCATATACTGTAATATTATTTAGGAGTGAAAAGAAATGAACTACTATTACATGCTAAAACACTGGTGAACCTTTGAAGAAGCTAGTCAGTAAATTTGGTGTGTCTGTGAGTGGAGGTGAGCTCAGAGACTTCCTACTCTATCATTTTGGCCACACTCTGTACACATTAAATAGATGAATTTTACGCTATGTGAATTATATCTAAGTAAAACTGTTATTAAAAATATATAATGGGGGCTATTTAAATCAAGAATTTAAACAATATATGTGGACAAATTGAAAGAGCAGTTTCAGAAGCTGATCAAGCAACAGCTTTTCAGTAAGTAAAGTCTCACGTTGTCCATGGACTATTGGTAACGCATGCTTCTGGTCAGTCAGACAATAGAATTAAATTTTTCCTTAAATAGAGAAAAAGGTGGCTTCAGAAAAAGAGATTAAGGTCTCTGCCTATTTAAATGGTTGTCTGAGGATAACTTGCTTAAGAATTAATATATGGGTAGCAACATCTCACCAATATCAAAGTGGATCTAAAGAACATATCTTATGAATATTTCACTTCATAAATACAAAGTCACTTCACGAGTTTAATAGGACAATCTCATCTTCAGAATCTTTGGCACAAAAATTGACTGAAGAATTTAAAAGTCTTATTTGAACCAAAAAAAAACTTTTCTACTTGTCAAAACAAAAATGGACTTTGGGGGATATTTTATTGATTAAAGAACTCCCATTCCAATATCAACATGTTCCAGCCTTACTAGATATCATAATCTCCATAGATCCATTGATCAGGGAGGCATGGACAAGGAGAGAGGTGTGAACTTGTATGAAAGACCTTAAGAATGGACCTTGAAGGGGGAGTAATGGCATATTATCTCTACTTCTATTCAAAGGAAATCTGCATCCTACTTCACCAAGACCAGAGATATCCACTGTGCATAATTAACTGTATCTATAAATCCTCAGTGTTGAGGTGTGCTTGTGTGTCTGCCTATGAATGAAATCTCATAATTGATGAATCTATTGAAAATAATTATTTCCATATTTTATTCCTAGATATTACTTCCTAAGCTTTTCTTCCCAAAGTCTCCTATTTGTAGAAATAACATTCCTCTCTTCATTTGAAAATAGGCCTCAGATCTTTTTAAATATTAAATTATAAGTATTATTTTATCAATATATATAAAGAAGACCATCTGAGCTAGTTCATACATCTTGTCATGGGAACTCTTCATCAATATAAGATTACCTAGTCAGAAGATGTAATTCACTGAAATATGTACCTTAGACACACCTGTTTAAAATAAATTTTGGAGTAATAGTTGTTGAAATGTGGTGTGTCCCAGAAAGTGTCAAAAGACAGACATCACTGACAGTGGGCCTTTCTACTGAGGAACAGTTAGTTCAGAGCTTAGTCTTAAAATTGTGTTCAAATTTCGGCTTCATCCCCCAAAGTAATTGATTACATAACTAGTTGACCATAAGAGCAATTAAGTCACAGTCCTGTCACAGAAACAGTTTATGCAGTCTTTGGCAGTTGATAGATCTGATGAAACACTGCAATTTAGAAGTCTGTATTACATATTTTTTCTTATGGAGTGATAAACATATCCTGATTACATTTCATCTTGGATTTTGTAACATATTATTAATGATTACAAGCCTTTTCTTGTGGTTTGAGAGTTTCTCGGGTACCATGAACCTCATCTGCGATCATTCTCCAAGTTTAGTTTAAATAAACCCAATATGAATGGTTTACCTTATTAGGTAAAAAGGCTAAAAATGTATTCAACCTCAACATTCCAAATGAATGAAGCTGGCCCATTAACTTACATAAAGCAATATCTTTCTTAGAAGAGTGAAAAAGCA